AAGTGAAAAAACAGATTGACAGAGCCAGAAGAGTACACAGAAGTCACTTACTACTGGACAGGCCCAACAAAGAAAATAACAGAACACCACTAGCCGCCACCTTCAGCCCCCAACTAAAACCTCTCCAGCGCATCATCAAGGATCTACAACCTATCCTGAAAGATGATCCCTCACTCTTACAGATCTTGGGAGACAGGTCAGTCCTCGCTTACAGACAGCTTCCCATCCTGAAGCAAATACTCACCAGCAACCACACACCATACAACATAAACACAAACCCAGGAACCTATCCTTGCAACAAAGCCCAATGCCAGCTCTGTCCTCATATCTATTCAAGTGACACCATCATAGGACCTAATCACATCAACCATGCCATCAGGAATCTGCACATCTACCAACATGATATACGCCATCATGTGCCAGCAATGCCCCTCTGCCATGTACATTGGCCAAACTGAACAATCTCTATGGACACAAATTTGACATCAGGAATCATAGCATTCAAAAACCAGTGGGAGAACACTTCAACCTCTCTAACCTCTCAGTGACAGACCTGAAGGTGGCAATTTCGCAACAAAAAAACTTTAAAAACAGACTCCAGAGAGAGACTGATTAACTTGAATTAATGTGCAAATTAGATATAATTAACTTAGGTTTAAACAGAGACTGGGAATGGTTGGGTCATTACACTAATTGATCTATTTCCCCATGTTAAGTATCCTCACACCTTCTATGGGTCATCTCGATTATCACTTCAAAAGTTTTTTTTCTCCTGCTGATGATAGCTCATCTCAGTTGATTGGCCTCTTACAGTTGGTCTGGCTACTTCCACCTGTTCATGTTCTCTGTACGTATAAATATCTTCTGTCTGTGTGTTCCAGTCTATGCATCCGATGAAGTGGGCTGTAGCCCATGAAAGCTTATGCTCAAAGAAATTTGTTAGTCTCTAAGGTGCCATTAGTTATTAAAACACAACATTAGTTTGCATGTACCATTCAGCTCACACATTTCTGGGAGACAAAACCTGAATTTAGTCCTTTCCTTGGGCAAGTCTGATCTATGGAACTTCTCCAGTAACATCATCTGGTAAAGTATCCATTGCTAGTACCGAGGAGCTGCCCATTTGTGGCCTGGATAGAGTGAGCCCATCGACCTAGGGAACCTGCTGACAGCCCCATTCAACTCGCAACCTCCCTGGGTGAAATATGCATGCAAATTCCTCGGGGGGGGGAGACAGGGGAGGATTCCTATTTAAATACAGATAAATTAATTGAATTATACAGAGAGAGGGAGTTGGGTGGGTGAGAGATCCATTACGTGACATGGCCCTAGGTTCTCAGAGCGGATGGACGGACGTTGTTTGATGAGGCCCATACACGTGAGACAGTGCGCAGGGCAGGGAGTCCATTAGTTATGGAAGTTGTTTAATACCTGTAAGCAAATACACATAAATACCCAATGATGGATAGCATCATTGGGGGTACCCTGTGCCTTCTTCTGGCTGTCAGACGGGAGCCCGGGAAGGGGCTGGAGTGGCTGGCCAGGTACTATGATCCCTCCATCCACACTTACGCCTCCTCCATGCAGGGGAGATCTACAGCCTTCGAGGACAGCACCACTTTCTGCTTGCGCATGAACAGCCCGAAAGCCGAGGACACCGCGGTGTAGAGACACTGACACACCCAGCGAGGGGAAGCCAGTCTGGGCTCAGACAAAACCTTCCTCGCAGCTACAGCAGAGGCGGTTCGCCGGCTGGGGGCGCTGACCAGACACAGACAGGAAGGGACACGGTGATGGGCGCAGCGGAGAGACTGGTCAGGGGAAGAAATGCAGGTCCCCGGATCATAAATATGTGCAGGGCAGCAGCATTTCTAAATGGAGTTTAATTATTCACCCTGGAATTCCTCTGAACATCAGACACTGCCATGCTAAGAGCTCTTCTGACCCCTTTTCTGTACCAGAGACAGAAAAACAGAAACACACACACACAAACACAGCAACACATCTCAACATGTAAACACAGGAACACAGACACACCACAAGTATACACACAAACACATGTTTGCAAACACAAAAATATATACAAACAGATATGAACACAAAAACACTCACATGCAATCACACACACTTAGGTCTTCACCCACCCATACCAACACCTACACACAATCACAGCAGCTCCCTGAAAACCCACATCAGTAACTTCAAGCTGTCACACAACTATGTACACGTGAAAATACACACAGAAAAATCTTTCAGACAATTTCTAAGTGTTTTAAAGGTGCAGACAGTGGATTTGAAAAGACTTAGCAAATTCTGCTCTTAGTTACCCTGTCCTAAATCTGGAACCCAGCCCCTGCACTAAACTGAATTATTCAAGATTTCTAGTGCCTAACTGAGAACAGAGTCTGACCTAACACACAGTGACCAGTTCAACCAGTTTAGAGAGCTGGTCACCTGCCTTTACCTACCCGTTACTGCGCGGTGCACAGCGGGTGTCCATAGATCTCTTTCCCATAGTGGTCAGCACAAAACAGAGATGCAGCACGGCTGGGAATTTATTTCCCAGCCTGCCACTTATTTCCTCGGTGATCTTGGGCAACTCACGTCACTGCCACATGCCTCAGTTTCCCCTTGGGCAAAAATTGGGGATAATGATGCTTAACTCCTTTGTAAAACACTCTGAAATGTATGGATGAAAAAACACTGAATAGGAAATAGATTTTACTATCACCATCATCTCTACTGTGACTATCTCGCCCAGCTCCTGCAGAAATGATATTGAGTCTTTGACAGGCTGAGACCCAGGCCCCAGGACCTCACTAATATTGGTCAAGATCCTTCATTCCTCAATCCCAGTGCTCCCCAACCTTTTTGTGGCCAGTAGCACATTCATGTTTTCAGAAGAGTGTGGCGGGCGCCAATAATTTTTTGCCCGCAGCCCCGGAGTTCTCTGTCCTTGTCAGGCGAGGGGCTGC